GTTACAATAAAATGTTTATTTTCCATTGAAACTATTGGAAACATTCAAACTCCTACTACACTAATACACTCTGCAAGGCATTCAATATTTCAATTAGCATACCTTAATTTTAACATAAACAGAACCAACGTCCCCGTAAACCCAACACCCTATTGAAATCTCAATTACACTCCTCCAGCAGTGAAGTGTAGACTGACATCAACACCTATACAAAACAGGTTCTCCAATATATCATGTCCATGAATAGTTCGACTCTGTAATATATCAGCTACTGATTCAGGACTAGTTTAATTCTCAGTAATGTTTGCTTGGTATGCCTATCAAACCATTCTCATTGATCTGTTGAATCACTTCTTTTTCATCACCACATTCAAACTCACACAGAAAGTGATCAAACAACACATTTGCAAGAAAGTAAATTGTGAATTCCACAAGATGAAACTTGAAAATAGGTATATATTCCACTTCAAAATTCGTAACAAACAAGCACAAGCAACAATTGAGTTGCCTCTGAGATGCTAAAGCTCGATACATCTACTTACAAGAATTAATACTCTGCCAGATTATGAACAATTAACCCTCAAACACAACAATTAGACAATTAATGTCAACAGCACTGAGAATTTACAAGCTACATGTCAAAGATCTTGGCTAAACTCAGAAGTAAGCTTCAACAATAAAAATTGAGCATGTTATCCAACTCAGCAGCAGGAAATACACAATAGGAAGCACAGTAGTCAGAGCTTGCCAAAGTAGCAGTAGTATCACAGCAAACATACCCAGAATCAAAGCCCAATCTACCTGCAGAATCCTGGCAGGCGAGCTCGCCACGTTTTTCGGAGACCCGACCACCGGTCCTCTTCTGTCCTGTTCGAACTCCGGCAACGGCGGAGACAGGACTTCTCCGAGCATATTTTCCGGCGAGGGGTTCCGATCCAGAAAATTTTCCGGCGAGGAAAAATCATCCCCGAAATTATCATAGTCAAGAACAGTCCCGATACCGTGAACAGAAACGACGGAGCTTTGAAAGAGATCGGGATGAGTGAGAAGGGCACCATTGATGGAGAAATTGCCGGCGGAATTGTTGGTAATGAGGAGGGTTTTCCCGGGGAGAAGAGTAGGAAGGCGAGCCCCATTTGGGAACTGCCGGAGCTCGGTGAAAGCAAAGCGGCGGGGAACAATGTGGTAAGGAAAGAGAAGAGGGTCGAAGGAAGTGGCCGGAGAAGTTGAGTTTCCGGCAAGAAAAGCGCCGTCTTCTGGAACGAAGAGGGTGGCTGTGAGAGGGAAAATGGAGGGGTCTGCCTGAGATAGAAGGTTAGCCCAGTTGCTGAAATCTCCAGCTCCGACGATTGAGTCGATGATCGAGTTGAATTGCAGTTGTTGCGGTGTTTCTTGGAGGTGCGCCGGCGGTGGTCGTGCGATGACTGAGAGCGACGGAAGAGGTGGTGGTGGTGGTGACGGTGATGGGTTTGGGTTTGGGGCGATGTTGAAGGTGGTGAAGTTGATTTCAGTGGCGGAAGTTACAGTGGTGTTGAAGTTGAGGAGGAAGAGGAGAGAGAAAATGAAGAAGGAAGCCATTGAAGAAGGAGAAGCTTTTCTTGGGTTTCTTGAAGAAACTTCCAGTTTTGACTTATTTCTGTTGTTGGGAAGAAATGAAAGTGAAACGCTGAGTTCTTGAGATTTATTGGATTAACTTTCGTACATATAGGGACTTTTTACAACTTAATTAATTAATCAGATGAATTTTCATTATTAGATGAAAAAAAAATTTAAATCTAATTGATGAATCCACACGATACGAATTAATCCGAGTAAAAACGAACTGATTTGAACTTAACTCTATCTGAACTCAATTCGAAATATTGACCCCATATCCAATCCGATAATTTATTGACCTAAAACCCGAATTAACATGTTCTGAACTCGACCCGATTCAAACAAATCATTTTGCCAGGTCTAGTGAGGCTAATAGGAGAGGTTTTTTTAGATTAAAATCAATTTTTAAGAAAGAAAATTGTGACAAATAAAAAAAATTAACAATCATCTATTAACTTATACTAAAAGTGAATAACCAATGACACTTGTCATTACCTTTTGAAAAGTTTTTCCGCCTCATATTCCATATATACCTAAATGAAATATTTAGGCATATCTTTTATATACTTTATATTTTGTAATATAATTGTCAAAAATATTTAATAACCGTGCATTGTACGGAATTTTAACCTAGTATAAACATAATGCGATATGTGTCACAATTATCTACTCCGTAATTAAATAGGCTAACAATCAAACACGATCTATTTTGAGCATTTCCACCATGGCTTTATTTTCAATGCAGTCAGCCAAAATCCCACGTTTGATATGCGAGGATATAGATAAGACAAGAAAATTTGTTTGGAGTGGGAATGATGAAAAGCGTGGCATTCATCTGATTTCATGGGAAGTTTTGCAACGTCCTATGGAGAAAGGAGGCATTGGAATTTTCTCAGCTAAACAAGCAAATGCCGCCTTCCTCACGAAGTTAGGATGGAGAATGCTATCCGAACCTAATGCTCTTTGGTCTCGTGTGTTACGAGCTAAGTATTGTAAAGGTCAGTGCGATGTTGATATGTTTGAACCAACGACAGGCATGTCCAATGTTTTGGAGCGGTATCACGGAAAATGCAAAAACATTGAATGAAGGGTTGAGGACGGCCATTGGCAATGGAACGAAGACGCTTTTTTGGGATCTCGAGTGGGCAACGGATGTGACTCTTAGCAGCCTTGCAACACAGCCCTTTCCAGCTGAGGTAGAAGGTGCTACCGTAGAAGAAATGTGGGAAGAAGGGGAAGGGTGGAGGTGGAACATAATTGCCCCACACCTTGATCAAATATGCTCAAAAAAATCCAAAGCTATGAGGTACGTCGGTATCCGGGTCTTGGTGATTTAGTCCATTGGAAAGATGGTGACAAGGGCAAATTCACAATTAAATCTGTCATTAGCATCATGAAGCATCACACGGATATATTGGATGAAGATTGCTCGGAAGTGGTGTGGTCTGCTCCGGTCCAGCTACGAATTAGGGCCTTTCTATGGTTAGCGTGTCATGACCGGATTCTAATAAGCAACTCGAATCGATTCAAACACAAGCTAACGGATGACCCTAAATGCTATATTTGTGGGGCAAGTGAAGAAACCACTCTACATATCCTAAGGGATTGTCCAGCTGCTCGAGTGGTTTGGCGCAAATCTGTGGATAGCAACACAATGGGCTCGTTTTATCAAGGAGGGTTGAAGGATTGGATCACTGCAAATGCTAGGGATTTGGACCCGGTTAATGAAGATTCTTGGGCTACATATTTTTGTATTTCGGTTTGGTGGATTTGGAGATGGAGGAATTGCTTTGTCTTCAACGGAAGGGATGAAATGCCAATTGACTTTGTTGCTTTCCTACAAGTGAGATATGATGAAGCTCGAAGGGCAATTTGGGATGCTATAATGCAAGGAAGAAGTATTGGATTCCAGCCAACATTACATGGCATGCCCCGCCTTATGGATGGTATGTTATTAACAGTGATGGTGCGGCAAAGGGTAACCCGGGGCCTAGGTGGTGCAATTATAATGCGGCTGGAAGTTCAGATGGAAAATGCGGCTGTGGTGCAAGCTCTTCAAAAGCAAGAAATTACTAGAGGTGAATGCATCTATCATATTCAGTTTTGTCAAAAGCTACTCGAGGATGATCATTGGGAAGTAAAAGTCATACACGTGTTTAGAGAAGACAATCGAGCGGCGGAGTGGTTAGCCAACCGCGGAGTCATTCAGGACTCTCAATTAGTTTTTTTCAATAATGCTCCAGTGGAACTTAGTCGTATTTTAGAAGAGGATATTAGGGGCGTGGCTATGCCTCGTCTAGTTCCTCCCTAGTTTAGTTTTGTTTGTGTTTATTTTCGCTTTGCGGTTTTCTTTTTTTTTTTTTTTTTTCTCTTGGTGATCTGCAACCTCATTTGGAACCAACAAAAATAAAAATAAAAATAAACGTTCTATTTTGAGGCAGATGACCTCTAAAAATGATCATACAGTATTATTATGAGATAATTAATATATCAATTTATTTTAAAAGATTGGATAAATGTCATATTATTCTTGAATATTTTTCCTTATTAGTTTTGGGCAATTATTTATAGTCAAGTGATGGAAGCAGTAAAATTTATAAAAAGTGTCAAAATAAAAATATTATTAAACAAAGGTTATATATAGTTAATTTACTTAAATTTTTAAAAGTGGTAGTAAGTCTAATATGAGAACAAAATTGCTTTAGGAGCCTAGAAGGTGCTCTTGAACAAGGAAACAATTTCTCTACCTTAAAAACACTAGAAGCACATTAAAGGGGCACGTTTGGATTAATCATATCCTTAATTTCATATTTTTCTTAAGATTTCTAGACGATGAAGTTGTCAGAAGTGGTGTGTTGAGGACTTGAGGTCGAGGTTTGTTGTGGTGTTAGTGGTGTTGCAAAGAAATGAAAAAGGATGAAAAAAGAAGGACAAACTATTGATAGGCGATGTCAGCAAAAAATAATAAAGATTTAATAACTTGCCGGACTTGCCCCTCTTTTTCACAAAACAAAAAAAAAAAAAAAGAACATAATTATTATCATCTTTTGTCACTAGCGAAACAAAAACGTTTTTTCAATATGAGAAACCGGGATAACCCTTTTCATTAATGTTATCTTAGTACAACATTATTAACATTGAAAACAAAATAATTTTGTAAAGAAAAATAACGAAATTCATAATTCATAGCGAAATTCGATGGAATTTCTGACACCGGAAACCGTTCATGTTATTTACCCCACCCAACCCCCAAAGTTCGTACTATTTATTGATGCACTTAAAATTGACGTGACAAAGCAAGCTACAAGGCTCTTGTAAATTGTAGCTTAATATTCGAGATGCTCTAAGCGCACCTAAGCAATAGTAATTGTAATACTTGAATTTAAATTAATAAATCTCATTCATTAATTTTGCTCATTGGCAATTGAATTTTGATATATCTGAGCTTTTGAATCATGATAATTCCCGATTGACAATGAATCCATAGTTAATTCCTTGATCTTTGTTACCGGTCTTACCACTGAGAATCAAGTAACAATATAGTCAGGATTTGAAATCAAGATGTGTTAATGTGGCAATCACGCAATACTTATTCATAATCATCTTGACTGCTAGATACAAAGTATTTAGAACACCTACTGTTCTACTCCGTATTAAGCACACTTGGGGTTTCAGCCATATTCACAAGGATCACAAAAACTACAGACAAAGTAAGAATGCCTACTATTAAGCATAATCATTCAGTAGATTACCTTGGAATTGGAATGGCCAGAAAGAAGGACAAACATATACTCGTACGACTTCATAATAACTACAGAGTAGAGAGTAGTGCTGTGGAGAATAGACTTAGGAGGTAAATATTCATTAGAAAAAGGCTTGTGTCGCCACTGAGCTCTATAACAAGACGATTTTACAACCTTCCAGCCTAATAAAATACTTATATTTAGCAAATAAAGTCCAACAATCAAGAATAAGTAAATTGTTCACTACTCATACAGCCATACCTTATCTCAAAATGTTAAGAGCGGAGTATTTTCCTCCACCCTAACCTATCCGCCCTTTTCAACAAAGTGAAACAATATGGTATAGAACGACCTCTTTGCTTACAATCAGCAATATCATGCTTAAGTTCAAAAATACGAGGACCGTTACCAAGAGAATAACGATCACGTAAATCATCCCACAATGTTTTAGCATCATCAGGAATAATAACAGTAGAACGAATACTAGCATCAAGAATATTATAAATCCAAGCAACAACAGTAGAATTAACAATACCCCACTGACGATAATCCGCGTGCTTGGAATCGGGCTTGACAATAGAACCATCCACAAACTCGAGCTTGCTCTTGGACCGAAGGTTATTGCGAATCGATCTCGACCACTCTTCATAGTTGTCGATGGTAAGCAACATCGGGCAAATCACCAACTTAGAAACTTCACTGGGATGAAGGTTGTAGTCGGTGAATGACTCGTACTTGGAAGGTGGAGGAAGAGGAGTGTTATCGCCTTCACCCATCTCACAGAATCACGAGCACACAACTCAACACCAAAGAAAACACACGCACAAGGCTGCCACACAACAACACACAGCGCACACACACACTCCTTGCGCACCACACACACACACGCAGCACACACTGCCACAACACACAGCGTGCACACACACACTCCTTGCGCACCAGACCACACACACGTAGCACCGCCCACACCGCAGCACCACACAACGCAAACCCACACACACACAGCAGCACCGCAACTCAGCAGCGCCATACAGCGCACCACACACAGGCAGTGCACTCAACCACAAGCACCACGCAACACACGCAGCACCAGAAACCCTAACCAAGCAACGAATTAGGGTGTGATAAACCCTAAATCGTCAAATTAATTGGCTGGGAAATCGAAACAAATTAAAAAAATAAATTTGAAGCCTTAATCTCACTCAAAAATTGCCGAATAAAAAAATAATCGGATGAACAAACCAAGTAAAAAAAAAATCTCTAGAAATTAGAGAGGCTTTGATACCATGTTAAAGTTAAGAACAACTGGAGAAAATGACTTAACCTTTTGTATTGATATTAATCACATATATATACACAATACATAACTTGCCTAAAATTCCTAATAAGATAAACTTGACAAAGATACAAAATTAACAAATATAACCAAATCGACTCTAATACCTTTCATGGTCCCAATCTAAACCCACTACTATTTTTTTTATTAATTATCTCCTCTCACATTCATTACTCTTTAATAAATTATAAACCCCATTATCTTTCTTTTATAGTTTTTTAATACTCCAACTACCCCACTTACCTTTTATTTTGTTTAAGTCAATTAAATTGCCTAAAATTATGTGACGGTCAAATTGTAACACTTATTAAAACACGGAGGGAGTATGAAAAATAGTCAAAACTAGGTTAAACCTCGTGCAATGCACGGATGTTAAATAATTATAATGACAATATAATTATATACAAAGTAGAAAAATATAAAATACAATGAATAGATTCAACATGTATTAATATGCATGAAATATATTAAAACAATGAAAACATGTGAGAGAAACCATTTATATATGTAATAGTTATAAGGTGTAAGTGGATTGATACAATTAAAATAACGTGCATTTGACATTCTAAAAAGTTTACTTAACATTTTATATATAAAGCAAAAGTCCTAATTTAGATACAAACTTTATTTTACATAACAATGATATATCGTGTATTATGCATATTTTTAGAGTCTTTTTAGTTAGTTTTCGAGTTTAGTTTAGTTGATTTTGGTTCATTTTCGCTTGAGGATTTGGTTTAGTTTGTGATGATTTTGTACTTTTATGGTTGTTTCGTTGTTTGTGATGCATTTCAGGCTTAACGAGGATAATTAGGAAATTTTATGATGTTGCGTATCTAAACCAAGGCTCACGAAGATCGAAGCTAAGTTCATTTGGAGCAGTTAACAAGTTAAGCACATCCATGTTGGACAATGCATGGACGTGCTGAGTTGACACTTAAATTGTCCTAATTTAATTTTTAAGTGTGAGTTGTTTTCAAGGGTTAAGCTCAGATGAAATAAGTCACAAAAACCTCATCCTCCTCCCTAAGAACCTCAGATGGAATAAGTGACAAGTACCCCATCTCCTTCCTACTACCAAACATTGTAGGTGTATAATATGGAATAAGTCAACAAGGCCCCGAACTATAAACAAATATCAAAACCCTAGTCCTTTGGAGAAAGGAATCAAGCAGAAATCTACGAGAGTTGTTATCCCACAAATTATCAATGAAATAATTGTTTCCGTATATTTTTTTACCTCTTTATTTGTATATTGCAGGTTTGAATTTTTATGGTTTACAATGCCTAGTAGGTAGAGAAAATTAAAGAAGTTAAGAACCAAGAAAAGGAGAAAATGCGTTGATACAAGTATACAACTATTAAAAAAACAACCGCCTCCCTCTTCTCTCTTTTCTCTCCTCTCTCCTCTCTCTTTAGGGTTTTACTTTTCTTGGCTGGAAATAGTTTAATTTCTTCAGAAATTAGACTATTTTCGACCCTTTTTCTTTGATTTAATTCGCTTATTTGTTATTTGATTTGTTTTGCTTTATATTGTTCTCTCCGTTTGTGAGAGTCTATCCCAATTTTTTTGGGTTTTTTCAAATTTTCTAGGATTTTGATTCTCATCTATGGATGAGAATTTTATTTTTAGAGTTTTAATAATAATTGAGAAGGTGATTTGGATTCATATGGGTTTAGGGTTCGTCATCAACTCTACGATCAAAACATCAACGCAGATTGCGAAGGTTTCTTCTTGGAAAGATGCTAGACATTGATAATCACTGCTCGCGTCAAGTTTGATGCGGTGGAGTATGAGCTATGCCCGATATGCAAAATAGTAATGATTTTAATTGTAAAAGTTATGTTGTTTTCTCTAGATATGTGGTTTACAAATCTTTATTATTATTGTAAATGTCATATGGCTATTTATTAATAATAATATTCTTCTTCCTGTCAAAATAAAATAAAATTATACAACTATTAAACTATACATAATGCTATTTTTTGGATAATCAATAGATTGTTTTTATTTATTTATTTACTCGTATTTTATATATTTTTTAGTTCGAGCAAAATCTTATTATTCTTGACAAAATTTTAATATTTATGAAAATTAGAAATAAAAAATATGAGTAATCGAGTATTTTAGTCAAAAAAAAGTTTTTCCTGTCAAAAAAAAAAAGACAAAAAAAAATGTCAATAAAAAGTTTCTATATGTACGAACTACGAAGTGAAAATTTCACCATACACCCGGGTACACCATGCTCGTGGTACACCCGGTCATAATACAAAGGTTATTAAAAAAAGGCCGAAAGAACATTGCATATAAATTAAAGTACATAAGAAAAAAAAAAAAACAAAACTATTCCCTCCTTGATTTAAGGGATTGATTTGTTATTTATATTCCTTGATTCATGAAATTGATTTATTATTTACATTTTATATATTATTAGAATACTTTTGGTGAATAGAATTTCATTTTTTTTTAAGAGAGAGAAATTAAATTTATATATAGTGAAAACCATGGTAAATTTTGAATTTCAAAGTGATTCAATGTTATAATAGAGTTGATTTTATCGTTCCAATATAATCTCTTAATGATGTAATTGATTAATTCGTTGTTGAGAGAAAAGGTATTTTTTTTATATTTTTTTTCCTGTTTTCGTGTTATTTCCTGAGGTTGAAGATGATGTTTTTCGTATTATGATAAATGTTCTTTTATAATTTCTTGGATACATGTTCTTCGTACTTTAATATATGTAGATTAAAAATGTTCTTTGCTGGGTTTCAATAATATGAATCATGTTCTTTTAACTTAGATAATATGTTCTTCTATATTAATATGTGTTTGCTTTAAACCTTATATTATTTTGCGTATTATGTTATTATCATTGTGCTCTCTTGTTTTATTATACCTTATGTATTTTTTGGTAACGGTGAAAAAATATGTTTAATTTTTGTACATATTTAAAAAAAAATTGAAATAAAGTATATTGAAAATGAAATTTTAAATTTTGAATTTTTGAAATTTGAAAATGAAAGTTTGAATCATTTTGGTAAAAAATAATCTTAGATAGAGAAATTCCGAAAAACTCAATATTTTGAAATAATTTGACATTAAATGCTAAAAATCAATTAGTAGCTATCTATTACCTTATTTTAAAATTAGTTTCTCAAAACTTACAATTCTTTATATATCAATGATGCATTCTTTTATAATTTAATAATGTTCTTTATATTTATAAGTTATGTTCTTTCCGCTTTAATTCGGGTGTACCATGCGCATGGTACACCCGGGTGTACGAATCAACTACAAAGTTAATCCTTAATCCAATATTCCAATACTCCCCAATAAATCCAATAAATTCCCAATACTCTGCGTTTCACAACAACAGAAATAAGTCATAACTGGAAGTTTCTTCAAGAAACCCAAGAAAAGCTTCTTCGTCTTCAATGGCTTCCTTCTTCATTTTCTCTCTCCTCTTCCTCCTCAACTTCTCCACAACTGTAACTTCCGCCATGGAAATCAACTTCACCACCTTCAACATCGCCCCAACCCCATCACCGTCACCACCACCGTCACCACCACCATCACCACCGCCTCTTCCGTCGCTCTCAGTCATCGCACGACCACCGCCGGCGCAACTCCAAGAAACGCCGCAGCAACTGCAATTCAACTCGATCATCGACTCAATCGTCGGAGCTGGAGATTTCAGCAACTGGGCTAACCTTCTATCTCAGGCTGACCCCTCCATTTTCCCTCTTACAGCCACCCTCTTCGTCCCAGAAGATGGCACTTTTCTTGCCGGAGAATCCACTTCTCCGGCCACTTCTTTCGACCCTCTTCTCTTTCCTTACCACATTGTTCCCCGCCGCTTTACTTTCACCGAGCTCCGGCAGTTCCCAAATGGGACTCGCCTTCCTACTCTTCTCCCCGGAAAAACCCTCCTCATTACCAACAATTCCGCCGGCAATTTCTCCGTCAATGGTGCCTTACTCACTCATCCCGATCTCTTTCAAAGCTCCGTCGTTTCTGTTCACGGTATTGGGACTGTTCTTGACTATGACATCTTCGGGGATGATTTTTCCTCGCCGGAAAATTTTCTGGGTCGGAACCCCTCGCCGGAAAATATGCTCGGGGAAGTCCCGTCGCCGCCGTTGCCGGCGTTCGAACAGGACAGAAGAGGACCGGTGGTCGGGTCTCCGAAGAACGTGGCGAGCTCGGCTGCCAGGAACCTGCAGGTATATTGGGCTTTGATTCTGTGTACGTTTGCTGTGATACTACTGCTACATTGGCAAATTCTGACTACTGTGCTTCCTATTGTGTATATCCTGCTGCTGAGTTGGATAACACGCTCAATTTTTGTTGCAGAAGCTTTTTTCTAAGTTGTTGGATAACATGTAGCTTGTAAATTCTCAGTGTTGTTGACATTGTCTAGGTGTTGTGTTTGAGGGTTA